TTCATCAATAAACAACAAAATGGCGAACTCACAAAACAAAAAATTTAAAAAAATTAAAAAAATTTATCTTAAATTAATGATAAAAAAAAAACTAATCATTAAAAATAAATGATTCTAGTACGGGACAGAGGTGTTACTTTTTAGAACAACATATCCAAATTTCAGCTAGATCGGTACCATAGAATTTTGTGAATCACCTGCGCCGCACACAAAAATGTCGTTTCGAGAAAAACGCGTTTAAAGTTTAGACGCTACCGAGAAACTCATACTTTTCGGTGTAGGCGCGCTCCCGATTATGGGCTGTATCTCTGTCATTATTTGATATTTTTATTTGAAACTTTAACAGTACATTCATAATAAACAATACTATCCAAATATAAAAAAAAAAAAGATTTTTTCAACCTCACACATGAGACTACATCCTTAAATCTAGGCCTGAATTCTGGTTTAATATGCCATTGTCTTTTAAAAAATTTTAATTTATGGAACACAAATTATGAACCATTTGCCAATCCAGTAAGATGTCCAAGGAAGCTCTTGAAGCCAGGAACAGGGAATTTTGAAACATACGCGAGAGCAATACTAGAAAAAATTTCAGGAAAAGACTATGGAAGATATCTTAAATGGTCTAGGAGTTTTACCCTTTGATAATTTTATTGTCTAATGGGTATCCAATTTCTTCTGCAAAATCGAATATTATGGATTTTAGAATTTGCTTTCAAGAAGACCCCCTCATTTTCGGTTTCAAAAAATCGATTTTTTTTAAGTTAATTCAAACTTATAACTATTGAAGAATTTTCCTTCTAAATTTCAAGTGAAAATTTAAAAAACTCTTCATGATATAGGCGATCTATGTTGGAAGCGTCAGGTGACAGCGAGAGCCGTCTTAAAACTTTAAACGCGTCTGGATATGCCTCTCTCTGATTCTGAAGATTCCGAAGGGTTGTTGAAAATATATAAAAATATCAATATATCGATATTTTTTGGGAAAAATGATATATATACATATATCGTATGATTTTTTTTCCCAAATATCGAGTGTGCGATAATTTTTTTTATATTTATTTTTTATATTTCTGCGTTATGGTCTGGATTTAAAGTTAATGAAAAAACATTATGGTGAAATCAAAAACGGCACAGCAAAGTATTTTATTTTAAATTAAATTAAAAGTTCTTAGAAGTTTCTAGCTTTTGGATAATACAGATTATATGAGTTCCTTGTCCAAGGAACTTCTAAAAACTTTTAATTTAATTTAAAATAAAGTTTATGTTTAAAGTTTATATCCAAGTTTATGTTTTAAGTTTCATAATTTTATCTGAGGCAAAGTCTGCACTAGACCGAAATAAATCGATCTAACTTTGGGGAAAAGATTCACCAGTTGAAGGATTGGGATTTTCACATCTGATATAGGACCCGATGCTATTGGCTGGACCACCGCAAACCTTGCTAAATTTATCGACAGCAGTGAGAAAGTACTTTCCTTCTGTTGAGAAAATTCCCATGTGCAATCTGTCCCACCCGCGATGTTATTGAAGAAATTCGTGCTTTAATGGTTGCCTATTATATTATACCTTCTGACAAATCCTGCAGATTAGAACGATTTCGGCTGCTATTTTACCCATTTTTGGAAAATAACAGTCAAGAAGCACTTGTCTAACCCTGTTGTGCCCCACAATAAGTATTTCTTTTTGCTCGTCCGGTTTGATAGCGTCCGCCACCCAAGACTTACAATACAAAAATTTAGTGGCCGGGAAGAGCCGAACCAGACTGTCCTGAATACGGGCCAAGACTGGAAGCTTACAATGTATGGCATTCCCGATGTTGGGCGTTACTTCGTCATTCACTAAGTCCACCATTGTCTTCCAATCGGAAAACCCAATTTTAATGCGAATCTTAGTACCAAACACTAAAAATAGTCCCTTGTTCCATCTGGTTATTAAAACAGTTAAGTGGCTTTTCCGTGGGCTCGATGACAAGCGTTGTTGAATTTTTCATGTGAATAGTGGCTCGATCTGACTCCGCTGAGCTTTGCGAATCGTAAATACCTTGTCGCGGCAAAGCATCCGCCACACAGTTTTCTTTTTCTGGCTTATAACCTTTGCACCACTTTTTTCAATGAGAGCCTTCGAACGCTTGAGTTTTGAATGAGGATTCTCATCAGAGACCGCAAATATAAAGGGCTGATGGTCCGTAAATATGTTTATGTCATTTTCCCGTTGGGGTAGTGACAAAGACTATCCAAGGCTCATACAATTGCTAGACACTCCCTTTCGTCCCTATCTTTCAGCGTTATAGGCCTATTTCTCTGAGACAAGACTGCACTTATACCAAAAGATGAAGCATCAGTTGTCAAATCCAATAGTCGCGTAAAGTCTGGGTAATGAAGGATAGCGTCCTCTGGAACAAGGATATTTGTAAGCTTTTGTAAAATGCGCTTAACTGGGGCTTTGATAAGCCTCACCGAAAAGCCTTTTGAACGATATTTGCTGACCCTGCCACGTTCACCCTTCAGTAATTCTGTCAAGAGTCTCGCTATTGATGCGAAATCTTTGATGAAACATCGATAGTAATTTGATAAGTCCAAGAACGATCTTAGCACGAAAAACAAAAACAAATCGACAATTTTTTTTTAAAAAGTCTGAAATTTGCTTTGACACTTGCATGTTTTCGTCCATTAGGCTCCTTAAAACAACCGCAATATGGTCAACATAAGACTCTTCAGTTTCTTAAAAGACAATGACGTCATCCACATAGATGTAATAGATGCTTCCTATTTTCTCCCGTAGAACATCGTATATTGCCCTTTCAAAAATGATTGAGGCATTCTTTATTCCGAAAGGTAGGCGGCAGAAAAAGAAGTTTTTTCCGTGTCCCAAAAAATTTGCCCTTCTCAGATTCGACAGTTATACTCGTTATAATAGTTATACTCGGCATTGGGTGTCTATCGGCAATAGTTTTCAAATTTAATTTTCCTAAATTGGCTTCTAACCGCTTATTAGGCGAACCCGAAGCGTCGATGGCTTTTTTACCTACAACCCATGTGGGGTTATAGTAGGGAGACCGACATGGTCGAATAATGCCATCTTGGATAATGCGAATGCGAATAATTTTTAGTAGGTCTCTGACAAAATCGTCAGCACCCAATGGAAACGAGTACAGCTTTGAATATACTGGCTTACTTTCCTCTGTCCGAATAGTCGCTACTACATTTGTTTTGAACGGTTACTTCTTATTTGGGTCAGCAAAGGCCCGCGAGTATTTAGATATCATCTGTTGTAAGTCCGGGTAATAAAAAGAAATGGCTTTCTACATCAAATAGATAAAGCTGGCATTTGTGTTCTATTTTTTCAAACCCATGATGCGACTTGCGGCGAGCAAGTATAATGGACGCTTATCGAAATAGGTAAAGTCAAGGTGGCTTCTAAGAAGAGATAGAATTGTCAGATCCCCTCATCTTGTAACGGATTATGGGAACAACCTGATAATGTTTGGAACTACCGTCAAACCGTCTGAACAGCTCATATGATGCTATGTTTCTTATCGCCAAGAAACATATTTTCCCTGTGACCCATTAAACTCTGGCAATGATTTTACTAGCCGCAATATCAGGAGCGGGTACTATCGCAGCGCTAAACCTATCAGTGACTTCCTTCAATTTATCTTCAAACTCTTGTTTTTGCACAGTTGTTGTGGACCCACACTTTGTTTTTTCTTTACTACGTTCGACGGCCTCTTTTGATAAAGCGAGGTTGCTTAGGTGAACAACCAAGTCTTCAGACTCTGAATCGCTCATACAATCTCTATCAAGTCCCAATACAATAAGTCCCAATATCTATTTACCGTACTCTTTTACGCGAAAAGGATTTTACTGATTAGAAAAAAAAAAAAAACACGGCACACAAAGAAATAAATTACTCTAACTTCTTGACTTTAATGCCGACACTGCTTTAAAAAATAAATGTTTTATAAGCAATAAAACAATTTTTAATATATTCTTTTGTTATATTTTCTTTTAATTTGTTCTGGCAATTTATAAAAAAGATTTCACTTACATGAAACTCTGAAAGTTTTCCTTCTTCCCTATCGCAGTCATCTGTGCGGTCCGGTACAGTCCGTCCTAGGGTACCAGTTTTAAGATGATGATTTTATTTTCCCATGTGTCTCCAAGGCTTGGAGATCTCGTTGGATCTCTGCTGCTCACGGATGTGTTGGTTCTGATGTTGCGGCAAGTTGCTACCCACAAATGTCACTTGGTAGGTGCCTCTCGTATAGAGTCGTGTAGAGATGCGTAGCACCGATCGAGACTAGAAGGTGGCCACGATCAGTGACGATGATGCTGCTGTACTCCTTGTAGTAAGGTGGTAGCCGGGCTGTGGCTCCAGATATTACTATTACGGTGATTGACAAAATAATATACACGATTTAGAAGAGGTGCCTGTATTCTTTGGCTGTCAGCTCAAAGCTGATTAACATAAGAGAAGGAAAGCTTAATCGTAACCCTAATTCGCACAGATCGCGGCCGACGACTCGCAACCGTCGTAAGGATTACTAATTATGTACTATACATGTACTAATTATTTACAAAAACCCTATATATATTTTCGTGATGAGGATCACCTCCTGAGTCGATGAAAGCATCCGTTTGTTTATACGCCAACTACTCTCTTAGTTTTAAAGCTATTAAGTTAAAAATTTGCTCAAATACACCTTTCTTTTACGCAGTATATAAAACGAAAATAGATCAGCCGACTATATACTTTAAAAATATGTATAACTAATGGATGAAAGATTCCAAAAACTTTGGTATTTTTATATTAAAAGGATGAGACTCTCTTAAGATTCTATTTTACGCACATTGATTTGAATCACATACTTTCATAAGGATCGTCTTCATAGAACTGATCTATCGGTAATAAACAAATTTTGTTATTTTTGAACATAGAAACTTAGGACATTTTTTAATATAAATTGTTTAAGCAAAATTACCTTTTTTTCACAGTTCCTTAAAAAACAAAATCATTAATGGACAACCTGTGGATAAACAACGTGCAATGGTTCAGTGGTTTGATGATCTTATGCATGGTATAGAAAGAAATGTAACTAGCAAAAACAAGGAAAAGTGAGTTTTTCTTAGTGATTACTTTGATTTCTTGAAAATTTATCTATGTTTTGTTATCTGTATATCTAAATTCTAAATAAATGTGTCACCAGGCAACTGTCTACGGAATCGGACGTATATTTAAACCGCTTCGCTATGTGATCCAAATTTATAGCAATTAACCATTAATAAATTTACAAAAAAAATTACAAGGGTAAAAATAAGTATCTCTTAAGTTTAGAAAAAATTTATAAAAATGTAATACATTTTTAAATGTTTAAATTAATAATTTGCTCCGTAGGTGTGGGGTAACTCAAGCTAATGCTTCCTGAAAAGAGAAATGAGTCAATTTTAGAAAGATTATAAAGATGAACGTCGGCTCTCGTCATCCTAAAATAAAGCTTACTTGACTACTCGCGCACCCAGAGTAACAGAACTTACAATAAAACACTGCAGACAATAGAATTGAATTTTTAAGAACTCAAGGTTGGGTGTTATCTAAAAAACACCAAAGTTATGATGCTATAGAATATAGTCGGCCCATTCCAGGCGTTCCGACTTATATACTGGGTACATATGAAGGAAGGATGTGTGCAAAGTGCACATCGACCGCTTAAAAACTGAAAGACTAGTTCGCATAGAAACGGACAGACGAGCATTCCTATATCAAGAATCGGAGATGTCTCCTCTAAGGGTATAAAAAGCTAAGGAAAGGACTGGTTTTTTGTTTTATAAAAAGCCCTTGAAGTTAAATAAAAGTGTTTATTAATGAAATATATCGGATCGGATATTATATATATATTGCAAATATCGGATATGGTTAACCAATCCTTTTAAGAATTTAAGTATCACCAAATTGGTATAAAGTGAATTTTGTAAAAAGTCTCAACCTTTACCATTAAAATCATAGCATATCCGATCTTTTTGTTGCATCGCATCTATAGGAAAAGGTTGTCCGATCCTTATGAAATTTGGTAGTTGATTCAGATAAGTTGAGCAAATTTGCATAGTTAATCGGAAATTCCCAATCTAACATAAGAAGTACCAATTTATGTGATTTGTGATCAATCAGATATATGGTAACTATAGGATATAGTTCCGACTTATAATAACCTCTGCAATGCTATAATGAGTCAATCTAGGCAACAACAATAAACAACAAATAATCCATCTCCAAAGATTAAGAGGGATGTCCGGGCCTTCACTCGGGCTGCTCCACCACCACCAGCAATACAGCCGAAACAATCCAATTCTGAAGATCGGCAAGCGCAGGCGTCACGATCGCCGTTATATGACCAGCGAATTCAAATACTTTTTACTGCAGACAGAGTCCTAATGAGAGGCTAGAGTCTCAGAAGCGTAACAACTACGATACGACACCGCCAGGGATCTTACGGTAGGAGATGCAGAGTCCGCGCATGTAAAACTGCTGAAGGGAACATGACTAATAGCGAGATCCAAAACATGCAATAAGCTGTGGTGGCTACGCCCGAAACTACCGCAATTTGAAGGGCTGCAGAAATAGCCAGGGGGGTGCTGAAATGCATTGTGACGACATAGAATAGCGCTGCTCCTAAGCTTGGTTAGAGCTGCCCGAACTGTTAAAGCCTGCAAGACCCGACAGAAACTACGTCAAATTACAGATTCGACATTCTCAGTGAACTGAAGGATCCATCTATGTACAGCAGGCAAACTTAACTATGTTGGTCAAGAAAATAATAATAATTTATTATTTGTCATAATCGACAAACTCGGAATAAACATGTTCTATGTCACATTCATTAAATGGGCTACATAAATAAAACAAAAATAAATTAAACAAAACAGGAAAGCTAACTTCGGGCGGAGTCGAAGTTTATATACCCTTGCAGTTAAAACTGGATATATATCGCAAACATTGGATATCGTTGGCCTATCCTAATATGATCATAAAACCAATTAATTACAATAAAATATCTTAAAAAAAAAAGTCCCAAGCTTCTATCTTCAAAAATACCAAAGTTGGTATTTTAAACCAAATACCATTTCCGATCGTTCAGTTACATGGCAGCTATAAGATATAGTCGGCCGATCGTTATGAAATTTGGAAGGTCGGATTAACTGACCAAAAATAGAATCTGTACTAAGTTTCAGCTTTCCATCTGCAAACACACGAAAGTCGGGTCTTTTCCGATCCTTCAGTTATATGGCAGCTATAGGATATAGTTGGCCGATCCCTTTAAAATTTGGCATGTCGTATTATTTTGCCAAAAAGAGCTCTCGTGTCAAATTTGAACTCCCTAAAAACTCCAAAGATATACCATTTCCGATCAATCAGTTATATACCAGCTATAGGATATAGTCAGCCGATCCCGGCCGTTTCGACTTATATACTGCGTGCAGGAAAGAAGTCGATAGCTTTAAAACTGAGAGACTAGTTTGCGTAGAAACAGACAGACGGACATGCTCATATCAACTCAGGAGGTGACCCTGATCAAGAATATATATACTTTATATATATACTTTGTCGCCTCCGGAGATGTCGTCACTGCGTTGCACACTTTTGGACAAAACTATAAAAAAAAACCCTTCAGTACATTTGCAACAGATATCAACATGCCATTCATTCGTTGTATGTCACATGGTATTAAAGTTTCATAACATAAACTTAATTTTGCTTAATTGCTGGTCGAAACTCACATCGACTTAAAACTCCTTTTGACATACCTCACAACGACATATCGACGCATTTTCGCGAAAGTATCGTATGTTGAAAAATCCAATTTTACAAGAGAAGCTTTTTTTTTATTTCATCTCTTGTTTCTAAGCGATTAGAAACATTTTTTATTGTATTTCTTTATTTTTGTGCATTTGAAGTATTTCCATGCAAAAAGTTTGTATGGACATACGATAATTTCGCGCGCAGATTGAAAAGCACTGTAACATACGATAAAATTGAAACTTAATTTTTATCGCAACTATAGGGTTTTCAGTTATAATATTTCACAGGGTAGTAAGACATTAGGTGCCTAACAATTTTTCATTAAAATTTCAATTTCGAAAAAAAGCGACTTACGATACTTTCGCGGAAATGCGTCGATATGTATGTATAATTTTATTCTAAGACATATTCTATAGATCAAATCATCCCGACGGCAAAGCCGTTAAACTTCACTATATATATTTTTGCGAGGCGTCCACTGCATGCATACAGACCACCTCCCGCCCAACAGTATTCAGATAAGGCGTAAAGAACATAAGTTTCAGTTAGGAGTAGAGCTCGCAAAAACTATGCAATAGGGACCGTTGTATAATAACCTAAAGGAATCATGCTAGGCATATGTTAAACTACAATGGCTAGAGGGTAAAGGAAAAGAGTTTCTAGTCCTTCTACTAGGAACATTAAATTTTAACGTGTTAGTAGATGCTGGCTATCTACATCACCATTTATAAGTTTATGTAGGAAAACGACACTCAGAATCGTTTGACGGTTTGTTAGTGGAGGTAACTTAATTAATGAACTTCTACTATGGTTGGAAGGAAGGTAAAAATTTCAAATCTAAGCGAAAATCAAAATGATTATTTGGTTAATCAAAAACATATAAAGTTTTTGTTAAATAGGAATCATTTAAATCTTTACATCATCATTTAATAAAACCAAGAACACTCTTTGCTTTATTAAGCGCGGTAAAAATAAAGTCGTAAAATTCAAAAGAGATTTGCGTTAGAGGCAATTGCCTGATGAGTTTTGCAAAACTGCAGTATTAAAAAACACTCAAAAATGAAAATAAACGGGTAATAAAATTGAGTTGGGGTATATTTTTGATGTCTATTATATCCCCAATGATAGGGATAAAAAGAGTTATTCTATCCTGATCTGAAAGAAAAAACACATCCAGCAGTTGACCTAAAGAATTTCTAACATGGTTAATTTGGACGAGTAGCATGTCAAACATACCCGCAGTGAACTCGTGTTAGGTGGTTAGTGCTAAAGAGGGTTAACTATTAACATTAGACAAAATGAGTTTTGAGAAAATAAAAATGACCCAAAACTTCCAGAAAATCAAACTAGAATTGAATACCGGGCAAATGATGTTAGTTAACGGGTGGCACGGAAGATGGCGGTATATAGAACTGGTAACATAAATATAAATAAGTCGGAAAATATGTATTTAAGAGCAAGTTCGTTTCTTAGAGCCATAACCCAGTACTTACAACCGAATATCCTAAATGGAATACTCCTTCCCGTAGGATCGCAGGATCCCCGCCAGATGATACATAGTTATTTTTACACAAGGTACTTGTAGAGTTCAAGGGTATACACTAGGGCGGGTCAATTTTTTTTCGCAAAAATCGTCCCCCATAATCGGAATCTACGAAGAATTCTAAGAAAATTTCACCAAGAAACCATGTGTCTAAAATGAATTCCTAGCTCGCGCCGAGAAGCTTCAAGATTGCACTATGAGGTACATAAGATATTTCGAGGTATTTAAGACATTTTAATGTATTTAAAAAAAACGTACGCATTTTCCAATTATGTTAGAGTCAATTCTGATTCATCTTTTTACAACAAATTTTATATTGTTTTTTTTTAAATTTATTTAACTTATAATTTATTTTTAATTTCGAAAAAAAGAATCAAACTAGCCATGTACTTAGCCTCATATAAGAAAGTAGGAGCAATGCGTCTGTAACTTTTAAACGAAGTACGGTATCGATCTGAAAAATGAAATATATATTCAAACGCATTTTAAGCAACTAAATAAAAGTAGGCGTGGCATGATAAAAGGCGGAATTTAATTTAATGTTTTATTATAAAGTTTATTTTCTTTTCAACAAGTAGGTAGTTTTTGCATTTTTTTGACTGGACTATAACGTCATCTTATTAGAATCTCAAGTCTTTCTTTGACTCCATTTGAGGAACTTTGGAACGACTTTCTAAAGTCAATTACATAACAGCATCTCGATTCTGTGGCATAACTCGTCGTGAGACATGTGTTAACAACTGCACACATCGTTCGGTGCCCTGTATGTGCGATGGA